TGCTGAAGCTGCAGATCCCAGCGTATCTCCTACCAACGGAACTGCAACCCTCGCCTTCGTCAGACAATGGCCAGCTCTGAACACTCAGGGATTGTCTCTCATAAGACTCGATATCAATCCTGGTGGCATCATCTTCCCCCATACACACAACTTGGCCACTGAGATTCTGTATGTGTTGGAGGGAGAGATGTATACGGGCTTCGTCACCAACAACTTCGGAAACGACCCAACCATATCCAACAAGCTGTATGCAAAGGTCGTGAAGAAGGGAGAAGCTTTCATTTTTCCCAGAGGTCTGCTACACTTCCAGCTGAACAAGGGGAAGGTTCTTGCATCGAGTCTGAACGTCCTGAACAGTCAGAATCCTGGTATTCAGCTCATGCCATCAGCTTTGTTCGGAAGTGGCATCGACCGTGAAATGCTGGAAAAGTCATTCTTCATGAATGAGGCTCAAGTTGCTGCGTTGGAAAATATTTTCCAGCAGTGAAACGTTGAATTATGAGTTGCCAGGAGAAATCTGAGACTTTCCTGGCCTTGAAACAACCTGCGTGCAGGTGTAGATATCCCTAGGATCAGTTACGTAGAATTATTAGACAGCCCATTTAATGCTGTTGATTGATCAGCTTGGTATAACAAAGATTGAACTCAGGTGCTAAACGTTGAGTTCATTCTCCACCAGTTGAAATTGTATTTTTGCTCGATACCTTTCTCATAAACGCGGTGTACTCCAACACGTATGTACGTTGTACTAAATTTTACGCATTGTGCTCATTCCGCGAAATATCCAACTTCACATTTTATTCTGACACCATTTGGAACGGTTATTTTTGCTAGAGTTTTGACATGTAATTAGCTATGGGCAACAGAAAACGTTCATGAGACTTAAGATACAAAGCATGTGATTAATGACAGCAGTGACGTGTGTCAAGGTTGATTCGGGGACTATTACGTCTTGAGGAGGGCAAACTGAATGCCTGAATTTGATTAGCATGCTTGCAGTCGGAATGGAGCTGCAGGAGTGGATCTGTGTGATGTGATGACGTTCTCCTTTAATCACAAGCATCAAGAAGAATGGAGTTTAACCATTTTAAAGGTGAAGTAAATCTACTCGTACGTTATTAAAGTCTTTCTCAAGTCTCAAGGTTTGCAACGGTGCCTTTGCAACCTTTGCACGTAGACCACCATTTATAAGAATGAACCTGAGCAGAGGAGTACGCAGTAAGGAGTTCCTTCAACAAATTACCACATGGCAGAAATTTGCAGCGTGAATGACTTTGCGTACTGGGGAGGATGATTAAGGAACATGATGTTACAAGTGAAGGTGATTTACTTAGCTTAAATCTGTATTACTATGGTACGTATGTGAATTTGCCTCTGCTGCGAAGGCTTCAAGAAGACAGATAGTTCGGCCATCTTCTTCTCCTTCTCTAGTCCGTCGACATATGCTTGTACACCTCTTTAACCTCTGCATGTTTAGATAGGGTGCTTAATTATAAACTGAAGCAGTAGTCCAGAAGCATTGACGAAATGTAAAGGGGACAGTATATACTTATACTTGGTGTTTAAATATAAATGGACGCTAGAGGTGAGTGGTCATCAGACATTTTGCACTTGGGATTATGTAGTATGTGCAATGTGATTTACCACCGGCGTAGTTATGCGCTAGTCGTAGGTAGAGTATGCCAAGGTTGACTTTGTATAGTCGTAGGGAGACTATACAATGTCAACCTGGGGTCGATAGAGAGTAAGATCAATCATCAACAAGTCGAGTGTCTTGGAGTTTGACTTGTCGGATCACACGAGTGTGATCCATCGTGCTGATCTGCTCCTAGCCTATCGCTTTGGTTGATACAAATGTGATGTTGATGAACATCAGATTGTAAGATTCACAATATAGTTGTGACTCATAAGAATATGGCTGTGCTGACTAACATGGAAGTGATTCTTTGGAGTCATGGTGGGACAATTCACTCTCTGTGGATTAGACTTGACGGTAAGTGGGTTTATTTCGGAATCAGGCGCAATGATTATGGAGATGGAGGTTCAGATCAGAAAATTCCAAGGAAAGTGAGAGTTTGTCGTGTGCGTGCCAGCATGATTCCCTATCTTGTAAAGCAACTTGCTTGCTTTTTTCCTTTGGAAGATATTTGAAACCAGCTTTTGTTCTTGCAAGGGGACACAATTCTTGCTCACTTGGAAATGTCTTAATTTCCACTAGTAGAAAAGTCATTCAGAGATCTGATTTGGAGAGTTAAACTCACTTGTAAGTGAGTTAAACTCTCCAAAGAAATAGATATATCAAGAACTTTTCAGATGTTTAAGATGAATGAGCACAAGCAGTAGATGATTGTTTGACATCACAAAGGTTCAAGCTACGTAATGAAATGAAGAGACAAGTTGCCACTTGCAAATGGATTTCAATTCTCAGGAAGATCAAGTAACTATATAGAATAAATTATATTGTATATCAATGTCTTATTGGTGAAAAATTATTTTCTACCTTTGGAAAAGGGCAATGAAACACTAGAGTTTAGAAAAAAGTTTATTTGAAAATGTAGTCTGAAAATGAGAGACAAACAATTATTTTCCTCTTCTTTATATAGCTTTTATTGAGAAATACAAAAAGATAAAATCTTATTTCCACCGTCAATTCTATTCCTAGTGGATGGATGATAAAGCGGATAATCTTAACAAGAATATGGATTGTTGACATGACACTCCCAACTAACACACCAAGCATGCGGATCGCTGGCGTGATAGCTATAACTAGTGCGCGCTAAAGTAACCATATAATCATTTTGAGTAACTTTTACTTTATTTCTATTTAATTAAAGATGGTTACAAATTTCCCTACTTTTAACCGATATGCAACGAGGATATTGCACATCCGTTCAAATTTTTGAACTATCAACGGTGCATTATTTAGATTTTTAGCTGGTTTCCAAGTTTATTTGTATGATGGATAAATTTTTCATCCAACCAAATACTCAACTTTGAATTATTTTGATATCTATTTCTTGAGTATCTTTTTTAGCTCAAATTTCTCTTGATTAGCTATCAAGATAGGAAAAGGAGATAACCTTGGTTGGTTTGTGAATTGTTTTGATTGTGATTCATGGTTTCGTAATCATAATGCATGAATTATAAGATATATTTTCATATGTGACGGAAGTTTCAACTTGTATGACATTTCACCAACAAGTTTCAATATCACAAAAGTACCAATGAATCTAGGAATCAACTTTTGGATTTCTAGAAGAGAGAATTTTGTTGTAAATAGGCAAACCTAATCTACAACCTGAAAAACCAACTCTCGACAATGAGTATCAACATGCTGTATTTGTTGATTTTCAGCAATCAACAATTTCTACTTTGCTTGGTGTAACGCTTGATAGATATGTTCCACAAACTTGTCAATCGCGGTAACCTTAGTTGAAAACTCTTTTCTATTCTAAAATTTCATCAAACTTGATGGAGTAATGATAAATTAACATTTTTGCTAGAAATATTTTCCATTCATGATAGATTCATCAAATGAACTTTCAGTAAACTTTTTTGAAAAATCAATTTGATTTTGAAATTACAAAGAGATTTTTACACAAAGTTTTTTCAAACTACTTTATGATATATTAAATGATTCAAAATTGATATTTTATTTTTTTAAATTTTTGGTAACACTAGAAATACATGAATGAATTATCTTTGAACTTGACTCGGTTGAACAATTTTCAAAATGTGATATATGAATCACTTGTATGAAACAAGCATTTCATTATCATCACATGCTCTCAAAACTAGAACTTGAAGTGGCCAACACACTTGCAGGTTTATGAGAGCAAATGGAGTAACAAAGTTCATGTTGTTATTATATCTCTTATGTACATTATCTCAATGTGAGCCCTGTCACTTCAAGATATATGCACAGTCTAAAACAATGTGCATTGACAGATTCGGACACAATGACGAGTAAAGTTTACAGTCGTCTTTCGCCACTCCAAAAGATAAATAAAGCGAGCCACCGCCACGGGAACTAGCAACCATTGCACTTTTGCCAGGGACGATAAGCGAGAGTGAAATGTATCGTACGCACCGGCCTTCGCTGCTAGTCGATTACGGATTCACTTGAATTAGAGGCTTGACGGCAACGCCGCATGCCGCTACTACAACCTTGGCACAGCATGCATGCGCAATCCGTATCTGGCCCCGATGACGTTCCTGGATGACTCATCCAGGAACGTCATCGGGGCCATCATCAAAAATTGGTCAAAATTCGTCGCTCATCCAGGATGAGCCGCGAATATTTGACCCATGGGGTATCTTCGAGGTAGTTTCGTGATTTGGAGGTCCAATCGAAGTCCAGATTTGACGTGCGGTTGGAAATGCACCGAACGGTCCAGGAACGCTGAAGAACGTCTTCTCCAGGAATTTGGATTCCTTTTAAAGCAGAGAATCTTTCCCAGAAGTCGTAGCATGAGCAATAGCCTATTGCTCATGTCCTATTGCCAATAGTACATGTGGAACAGAAACGAGGTCTCTTACGGGGTCAGTGCGAGTTCAGCCGTCTGCAGCACGCGCGATAGTTTATGCCTGGTTTAATTATCCTCAGATATATCTGATGATCGTGGATCTTGCAAATTCAAAGAGCAATTAGATCTCCTCGTGCATGACGGGAAGGTGTTTGTGTATCGTCGAGGGCTCATGCAGATGGCAATCTGTTCAAGAAACATTTCCCTTGTGAGGGGTTTGTTGCCTTTTGGCTGTTTGTAACATTCACTTTGCGATTTTTCCCAACAACCCACAACAGCATAAAAAAATCAAAAGAGTACTTAGAGCAAAACCAATTTTGTCAACCACGTCGGAGAAGTTGCCTCGCTGCTGCGTCTGTAAACTGCCTATCGGGTTATGTCTTGCGCCTCAAGCAATCACTCCTTATAGAGGCATGCATGCTCAGAATATAAATGAGCTATCACATCCCACATCAAACCGCAACAATCTTTACTCTGTGTTTGCGCATGTCCCAGACTTATCTCTTAGTCTCATTCGACTACAATTCAGATTTATTTCCGCATTCCAGGTTTTGAACACTGTCCGGTGGATTTTGAGTTCACGTCCAAGACTACTCCTGTTCGCTCTTAGTGCACAACGCAGACGGCGAGGACGGATCTCTCCCACAATCACCGCAATATATCGGCGATGAAGCTCCTTGCTGCTATGATCCTTGCAGCTGGACTGCTGTCAGCTGTCCACATTGTCCATGCAGCGGATCCTGACCCACTGCAGGATTTCTGCATTGCAGACATTGCTGCCGGACCAGTTTCAAATGGTTTCCCTTGCAAGTTGCCTGCACTTGCTTCCACAGACGACTTTGCATTTTCTGGGCTTGCTGAAGCTGCAGATCCTAGCGTATCTGCTTCCAACGGAACTGCAACCCTCGCCTTCGTCAGAGAATGGCCAGCTCTGAACACTCAGGGATTGTCTTTCGTAAGACTCGATATTAATCCTGGTGGCATCATCTTCCCCCATACACACAACTTGGCCACTGAGATTCTGTATGTGTTGGAGGGAGAGATGTATACGGGCTTCGTCACCAACAACTTCGGAAACGACCCAACCATATCCAACAAGCTGTATGCAAAGGTCGTGAAGAAGGGAGAAGCTTTCATTTTTCCCAGAGGTCTGCTACACTTCCAGCTGAACAAGGGGAAGGTGCTTGCATCGAGTCTGAACGTCCTGAACAGTCAGAATCCTGGTATTCAGCTCATGCCTTTAGCTTTGTTCGGAAGTGGCATCGACCGTGAAATGCTGGAAAAATCATTCTTCATGAATGAGGCTCAAGTTGCTGCGTTGGAAAACATTTTTCAGCAGTGAAACGTTGAATGATTAGTTGCCAGGAGAAATCTGAGACTTTTCAGGCCTTGAGACAACCTGCGTGCAGGTGTAGATATCCCTAGGATCAGTTACGTAGAATTATTTCCGACAGCCCATTTGATGCAGTTGATTGGTCAGCTTGGTATAACAAAGATTGAACTCAGGTGCTGAAGGTTGAGTTCATTCTCCACCAGTTGAAATTGTACTTTGGCTCGATACCTTTCTAATAAACGCGGCGTACTCTAACACATGTACGTTGTCCTAAATTTTATGCATTGTGCTCATTCCGCGAAATATCCAACTGCACATATTATTCTGATACCATTAGGAACGGTTATTTTTGGTAGAGTTTTGACATGTAATTAGCTATGGGCAACAGAAAACGTTCATGAGACTTAAGATACAAAGCATGTGATTAATGACAGCAGTGAAGTGTGTCAAGGTTGATTCGGGGACTATTACGTCTTGAGGAGGACAAACTTGATGACTAAATTTGATAAGCATACTTGCACTCGGAATGGAGCTGCAGGAGTGGATCTGTGTGATGTAATGACGTTCTCGTTTAATCACAAGCATCAAGAAGAATGGAGTTTAACCATTTTGAAGGTGAAGTAAATCTACTCGTACGTTATTAAAGTTTTTCTGAAGTCTTAAGGCTTGCAACGGTAAGCGTACACAGATGATAACCGGAATTCGTGTAATGTACGTTGATTTCGAAGAATGTGAAACTGCTGCAGCCACTCGCTGAGCTTGAAATTTGTTTTGGAATTTTGTGAAACGCAGATTGGTGTTTCAGGGCTAGAGTATCACTCAAGATATGAGAAAGTGGCTTGCTTCGTCAGAATTGATAGCGCGTCTTTATACTAGCACAAGACCATTTTTCTGATCCATGCTTGTAATAACCCACTAAAGGCTAAAATTGCAATATAGTGGTAGAAAGGTCAAACCCACAGGGATAGAGGAACACACAGGGTACAAAGTGTCACATTTAACAGACTATTGAAGAGTTTGAGTTCTCAGGCGACTGTCACTCCCAGAAATACTGCAAGTGTTCACTTGGAGCTCACTCGGAGGTTACACAGTGTAGCGTACAGCGCGCGCGCACACACACACCTGAAACTACAGAAACACAACCCAGAGATTGGTTAGGACCTCTACTTAAGATTTCAGGGTGGGGAAAGTCTCTCGCAAGTACACTCAGCGAATCTGCGGGTAGTGACTCCCAACTCCGGCTTTTACAACCCTTCCACTAGTTTTCTTCTAGCGTAGGGAACCCGGATTGGACTTCCTTGTAATAACCCACTAAAGGCTAAAACTGCAATATAGTGGTAGAAAGGTCGAACCCACAGGGACAGAGGAACACACAGGGTACAAAGTGTCACGTTTAACAGACTATTGAGGAGTTTGAATTCTCAGGCGACTGTCACTCCCAGAAATACTGCAAGTGTCCACTCGGAGCGCACTCGGAGGTCGCACAGTGCAGCGTAACACACACACACACACACACACACACACCTGAAACTACAGAAACACAACCTAGAGACCCGTTAGGACCTCTACTCAAGATTTCAGGGGGAAAGTCTCTCAAGAGTACACTCAGCGAAGCTGTGGGTAGTGACTTCCAACTCCGGCTTTTACAACACTTCCACTAGCTTGCTGCTAGCGTAGGAAACCCGGGTTGGACTGCCTACTTCGGATCGAAGTCACTCATACGCGGTGAACAACACTCTCAACTCACAAAACGCGCAGAGAACACAGGTCCGCACTGAAGAACTCACGGAGAAACATTCCAGTAACACAATAACAGTCTATTGAAGAGTTTGAATTCTCAGGCACTTGTCATTCCCAGAAATACTACAGGGGTTACCTCAAAGGCACCTGCTGCAGTGTAACCTGAATTTACAACCAAGGCTTACACGAAGTAGCAAAACTTCACTTTGGCATTCAGGGGAAAAATCCCGAAGGAGTACAATCAGAAACGAACACTCGAAGGTGTAGGGGCGAAACTATTCAAGTATCTAACTAGTCACTGGCTCTGAGCATCGGCAATCACCCGCAGATGTAGATCCGAACTACTCAAGTCTCTAACCAATGTACTAGCTCTGAACATTCGGCCTAAGACCTTCAGCTACAAAATGCGGAACGCCAAGTGGTAGCTCCTCTTGCGTGGTGACAGAACTAAGGACACAAACACGTAGGGAAAATGAGTTCCTGATCTGCACTTCCGAAATTGGGAAAGAACCCAAGGCAAAACGCCTTGAACTATTTTATACCTTCTAAGTCCTAACTAGCACTACACTGCACTACGCTACACGCCTGCACGGAACCACGCTACACTACACTCCGCGGAACCGGTGCTACGTTTCCTGCGCGACGGATTGCCGCGCACTAACTCCCTACCCTGCCAGTCTTCCGCTCGACTGCGCAGTCCCAACCGCTGCAACGCCGCGGACACCTCCACCTCGAGGATGGACATGGTATCCCGCGCCTTAGACAGAAAAGCGTCTAGCTTCTTCGCTACCTTCCGCCGACTCCTGCTGTCGCCTGCCAACAACCCTGCTGCGCGAAGTTCAAACTCACGCAGTGTGAGTTTCTCCTGTGCCGCCACTTCCCAGTGGGCGTAGCCCTTGAGACAGTGGGCGACACGCCTCGCCGTCTCCTCCTTCGTGCGATCTGCCTCTCGCCTGCGATCCTCTTCAATTACCACTAATTGCGATTTGGCCTCCGCACGCTGTGCTCTCAATTCACCACACTCTGACTGTAGCCTGCGGATTAAATCCTCATCCGCCTGCCGTGCGAGCTGACACTCCGCCAACAAACGCGTCTGTCGCACGAGCTCCTCTGACAGAATCTGATTCTGAGTTTTCTCAGACATCAAATCCTGCGTGGTCTGCACCACATCCCTAGTGAGCTCTTCCAATCTCTCCTTCCGCATCTTGTCGAGGGCGTGCGATTTCCTCTCAAGGTTGTACTGCCCCCATAAACAGGCATGCCTCTCCCTCAATTCCCTCAACTCCTGGTCCACCCTAGCTAGTAGCTTGCTAGTGTGGACTTTAGTGCGAGTCCGCCTGCGCACTAATTCGATGTAAGATCCCGGCTGGAGTGGATCGGCGTATTTATCGAATTTGCGATCCAAGTACTTCAGCAACGGAATCACCTGCTCAGAGAGCGCCGCCGCCGGCGCTCCAACAATTTCCTCCTCCTCCTCCTCGGTATCCCTTGCTCCCGACATTGCCTCGGTGGAGCCTTCGTCGTCATCATCCGAGTTGAGGATTTCAGTCGCCATTGATTGCGTCGGCGACTGACCCGAGTGGGGCTGCACGTCGTCGACGTGTGCTGCCTCCGAAGGCACCGCTGCAGCCTCGCTGCTCTTCGCCAAAATGTCTAAGGCGGTGGGCGAATGTGGCCGTGCTACATCCCCGTCGCCCGCTTGTCGGTCTTCAATCGTATGCTCTCTGCCGCCGACGTCCGCCGCCGAAGGCGATAGAGCGGAGGGTGTCTGCGCGGGGTTTGATTGCGCATCGCGCACCGAAATTTCGTCCCGCGGACTGTCAATCCGCTCCTCCGTCAGGTGCTGCTCCCTCGATCGGTCCTGCGCGGGGGCTGTGCCTGGCCTGTGCGCAGGCGCAAATGCCGGCGCCTTGTCCGCCGCAGGCGCAGCGCCGAAGGCGTCTATCGCCAAAGGCGACATAGCCGGGGGCCGCTCGCCCGATGTCCCTTGGCCCGTAGGCCCTACCGCCGAAGGCGCTTCTACCGGCGGATTAAGGCCTGTGCACAGGCGGACTGCTTCTTCCCACGCGTAGGCGTAGGTCCACGTCCGCTTGTGGTCGCCAATCCGTCGAGGCTCGCCCGTGCGCAGGCGGAACACCTGTCCGCAACGCACGTGGTAACTCCGGAGGCCCTTGGCCCGTAGGCGGCCTCTCGTCCGTCGAACGTGCAGCGGGGTCCGTTGCTCCTGCAGACGTCCGCGCTCCCTCGTTCTTCTCCGGCGACGCACTTCCTTTCTCTGTGGCAATCGTCGCCGTGTCCGCGCTGCTGGCTGGTAACACCAGCCTGCGCGCCTTCTGCTTCGGCCGGCTGTACGATTCGTACAACGGCCGCGGTCGAATGGGAGCAGTGGGTTCTTGATGCTGCTCCTCTTCGGACTCTTCTCTCCATCGCCGCTTCCGCGGCACTCTTGCTGCAGGAGTATTTCTCCCTTTGTCCCTCCGCCTTGACGGAGTAGAAGTCGGCGACTCCTCTGCATCAGTGTCGACCTCATTCTCCCGCACATACCTCCCGGGATGGTCGACGGACAACGGCGGAAAACGAGCAAGCTCCGCCGCGGTCAAACAATTTCGCTGTCGATAAAAATTGATGAGGAAAGGAGAGAGATGATTTAGAGTTCCCCCCTTCTCCTCAAAAGCGTGCTGTCGCATCACCCTGTGCAGGATGCTCGCCCAGTGAATTGGAGTTCCCTCGATGATGCACTCCACAAAAGAGACCTGCCACAATGTGATGTAGCAGGCGCGGTGTGGCTGCAGTAATTGCAGCAGCGCCGTAGCCAAAGTTCGGCGGAATCGATCCTTGTAATCGCGGGTCTTGTACCCATTCTTGGTAGACTTCCCCCGCTTGAACAGCTCCACAAATTGCGCCTCTTCCTGCTTGGACACCTTGACGCTCTCACTATCGAAGAGGAGGTGCCTTGGGATGCCGGCACATCTCCCCAATGCCTGCGCCCAATCTTGGACCGTCCATCGATCAACATGCGGCCGCAATCCGCGCATAGGTGGTCCCTGTGGCTCTAGCCACTCGCACACCATATCCACACAGATGTAGTTCCATCCCCATAGCAAGAAATTGAGCTTTCTTGCTATCAGGCGCTCCTCGAAAGCGCGCAGCCCGTTCTGTGGTAGTCGGAGCGGCAGCATCCGCAATCGGCCCAGTCTCGTCATTGCGTTCTTGGAGTTCGCCTGCTTGCTAATTCTCCTTCCGCTCCGCTCGAGCTCCTTTCTTCCTCGGCAAACTCTAATCTCCTTCAATTCCAAATCACGCGCACTCACTTCTCCCTCAATTACCAAGAAATCCTCTGCGCGGCGATGTCCAGAATGCTTAGCAGCCAGCAGATGGACGCGCGCAGCTCGCACTAGAGAATGGAATCGCGAATTCAAGAATGGAACGCTCTCCGCCTCCCGGTCGAAGGTCATGGTCGGCTATTGCTCGTGAAGGACGACTCAATTGATGGCCGCGCCGGCTCTACGCTAAAACGGTCTCCGCTCTCACG